TAAGATGATGTCATGGCAGTAGAGGCGCGCGCAAATAACGATCAGTCCCACACACTTTGAAGGGGTTACTACTGCGGTGGAAACGAAAAGCGATCCGAACTTTCCGCGCCGAGTCGAAGCGTACTGGGCCGAACCGTACCGTACTATGCAGTGGAAAAGCGCCATATGTGTATATATATATATACATATATACATACGTCATGGTGTTTACAGCCAGCGGAAACCATTACATTGGAAAAATGGAGATCGGTTGACCACATCAACACCGCCTTGGGTTTTTTAACAACTTTTACTAATCTATACTAGCTTATCTGATATTTCAGAGCTTATTTTTTACACTAACATTGATCAGTATGCTCAAGTGGATGTTTATATGTAAAGCACCTGGTATAACCTAGAATTTTCCATTGACGGTGATTTGCATCGACAATGCAACAGAAAGTCGCCTATTAGCAAACTACAGTTGGGCGGTTTGGCGACCTCTTACGCCTCTTTAGACTGACCTCTGCAGGCAAGAATCTACTTCCTGTCAGACAAAATCCAAGTGGCATTCATTGTCTGTTTGCCTTAAATCTGTATTTAGCTTGTTAAAGTGTCTTTATTTTTGGTTATTGAAGAAATACCTCATTGACTCTGGATAGCACAGTTCAAATCCATTTAACCTTTTGCACAATATGATTAATATGAACCTTGCACTGAGAACCATCTTAGACCTATATAGTTTAATGGGAATTTAAAATAATAATTAAAGCACATAACTCGTGGTTTTGAAGGAACCGTTCTCTACAGCGAGTAGCACATTGAATTGGTGATTTTTAAAATATTTGTTCTTGGTTATTGGGATGTTTTTGCTTTTCTGGCTATGTTCACACCGCAAACCAAAATCCCATATTTTCAGCTCAAGGTCTTTAAAAAAAACTTTTCTATTTTTGTATTATTTTAAATGAATATTTTTTTTTTTAAAAAAAGTTTGAGTTATTTATTCTAATTCATTTATTTATTTTAATTTGATATTATATTAACATTTATTTGTATTTCTTATGTCATTTTAAATCATACAATATCATATTTTTTTATACCTTACATTTCTAGAAGTATTATTATTTAGGAGTTTTAGCATTGTGGCACTGACCATTTTGTGCTGTTCCCTATCTGCGATTGACACATTTTTTTAGTTCGCTTGGTCGGACAAATCAGATTGCGGTGTGAACGTAGCCCATGCTCCTTCTGTTTTATCTCAGCGAAATTAAGCACAAAAAACCCCTCGACAAGGTGGCGTTGTATGAATGGTCCTCTCCATTATTTCAACCTCTTTTCTAGCATTTAGACTGCATAGTGTATACGATGACTGCTCTCATCTGTTTGTCTAGTGTCGTCATCTAAAATTCCAAGTAATAAACTTGTGAGGTGCAGAAATGTGGCTGTGGTTCTCTGAGGAACCCTGGCCTACATATTTTTCCTATGTGTAATGACTTTAATTGACAGTTTTTTAACCTTTATTTTATTCTAAGGTGCAAAAAGATGCTAAGCTAATGGCATTTGAAGTTATCTTTGCCTGAATATACCTGAGTGTATTTACACAAGTAACCATGGCAGAGTCTCACCATAAGAGGGTTTTGTGATCGTCTGAGAAGTGGATGATAATGGCCTCAACACACAGGGCTTGCTGCTGCCCGCAGCGCGAAACAAAGCCAAATCACATCCTTTACTGTAACAATCTCTCTCTGCTATTGGTGCACCCAGCCGCCTGTCACGGTCATCCTTCTTGCTGATTGGTGCTTATAGGGAAGCATTTATTTCTTACTTACTAAGCTTACTATTTGTTTTTTGGTGCTACATTTATCAGTTTGATTTCCGTTCATTTTGCCATGTGAAACCAGAAATGTGGAATTTTTAAAGTTGCACTAAGTTTTTTTTTCATTATAATGAAACTGCACTTCTGAATTTTTTTTAAAATGATGCAAATAATCAGTGCTCCTGTTGCAAAATGCATGGGATTTCAATTTATTTCACTAGAGCTTGTCATTGTTACATGTTGTTATTATGGAAGCTTGTTTCTGCCACAGAATAAAACATTTTAAACAATAATTGTGACTTTTAATGTCACAATTGCGAGTTTACATCTCACAATTTTGACTTTATTTCTCAGAATTGCAAGAAATAAAATCAAAATTGTGAGAAATAAACTCGCAATTCTGACTTTCTAACACACAATTGCGATTTTATATCTTGCAACTCTGACTTTCTAACCCACAATTGCGACTTTGACGCAATTGTGAGATAAAATGTCAGAATTGGGAGATAAAAAGTCACAATCACCTTTTTAATTTTTTTTTAATTATGTGGCAGAAACAAGCTTCCATATGTAATAGCCTAATATAAGTATAATGGGTAAAATAGTCAATTTTTAATGAGGCTGAATTTTTTTAACCAATGCATTTTGGTATTGATTTCAAATTGATTGAAGTATATTTACAATAAACATATGCCGACTTGAATGTATGTTTTCACTGAGCTTATGCATTGCATCAAATATGGCCGTTTGAATTGGTTGAATTTGACCAAAAAAGACATTAGCTGTGTCCCAATTCAGAGGCTGCGTCCTTCGAAGGATGCGGACTTGAAAGTTTTAAAGTTATATTCAACTGTCTGAAAACAAAATGCCAACTTTGGTCCATTTATGTACATAATTAAGAGTATAAACTATTTATAAAATCACATATTGATAAGATGAGTCGACATTTGAACAGCTTTAAAGTGTGTTTTAAACATTTGTATTGATAGATATTCAAGTAAGTTGAAAAACCCAACAATAGAGGGTATGCGCGTGACGTCACCGTCGGCCGGAGTGCCTGCAGTTACTCACAGTGAGTGGCAAAAAGACTGAGCGGCTGTATTTGTTTTCAGCGTGAATGCCGCGAAAAACAAACACAACACATATAAAGTGGGAAAGAGCTTTGCGATTGACTGTCCAACTAGATTTGACCAAAAATCGGAGGTATATTTTTACAGACTGCTATACAGTAGATAGAGGAGCAAATGGATCGCTGCAATTCACAGAAACAACTGGACTCCAGTCAGCGAAAGGTGGATTTGCAGTTATCATTTTGTGTCATTATGCTGAATTTAGCTGTAAAACCTGTATTGTTATATTATATATATATATATATATATATATAAACTCATCAATTAAATATTTATCATTGCATATTCTGCATTATTGCATGTTTTTTAATAAACACTGACAAAAAAAAAAACTATAAAGTTTTAGGGTTGGACCAGACGATATGATGATATATATAGGCTATATATAACACTGATGTAAGTGATCACTCGGAATTAGACCTACTGCATTTATATAAAGCGTTCACAGGCAGATTTGCTTTATGTTTAGGTCTATATTGCTTTCATTTCCCCGGTGTCGAAATCAGGCAAACATAAATGCAAGGCAACACTATTCCTGGCTGCATGTAAATATCCATGGATCACTGGATCTTTAGTAAGTTGTAAGGAACACTATATTGAGTCCAACATTTAGTTTAAATTGATAAAATTGTTTGTTTTAGTCGCATTTTCGCAGTTTCCCCAAATAAATCCAGTCACGCAGTCAGGCTGAGTGGGGTTGTTCCGGCGGGAAAGTGACGTCAATGCATTCCCTCTATACCTTTATGCAGCATTGAAATTGCAAAACAATATATTGTATTATAGTAGATCGGCATCTGTTTTTTGGCTGCATTTGCCAGTGAAATATAAACAAAAAATTACTTGGTGCAACTGTGAATGGTCTCCAATGTCATTTCACATTGCAAGTTATCCAAATAAGAGCAAACCTAAAGCAGCGCTGGCTTGGTGCACCACATACATGCACAGGAGATCACATATGTCCTTGATTCCACTGTGCCTGCTTCGAT